AGGAAGAAATTCTTCAGTACGAGGGCGGCAAGACTTTGGAATAAATTGCCCAGAGATGTTGTGGCTGCCCCCTCCCTGGAGGTGTTCAAGGCCAGGTTGGACGGAGCCTTGAGTAGCCTGATCTAGTTGAGAGGTGTCCCTGCCCATGACAGGGAGGTTGGACTGGATGATCTCTGAGGTCCCTTCCAGCCTAGGCCAGTCTACGAGTCTATGATTCTCAGTAATGAAAAAGACCTCGGGCTGAAAGAAAAAGAACATTTCTTCGTGGCCCCTGTAGTTCATCTGCTCTGCATATTGACTCATAGTTGGATCCTGTTTCCCTTGAATTTTAGTTTTAGAGCCAAGTATTACAAAGACCAAACCAGTCATGTTTTTGGTCTCAGTCGGGAGGAACAATGAACTTTTGCTATTACTACGTGAAGTAAAAAAGGATTCAGTCCATATTTGCTATGTATTTGTCTCCTCATATAAAAACAAATTAAAAGAAAATATAGAAAAGGACAGCATATTTTAAACAAACATTTTAAGCAACATTATGCTCAAGTGTATTATTTATACACAGGAGAGAGAGTATCACATTTGTAAACACGAGGGAGATCATTGATATGGTAAATTATGGAACCACACAAAGCAATGCATGATCGTATTCCCTCCTGCCCTCTTCCTGATAATTCACTTCCCCTGGAAAATAAAAGACTGGAAATATTTTGTACAATTGTTTTTGTACACTGAAAACCTAGAACAGACAACATATAATGCATCTGAAATCTGGTAACTTCTGATTATTTCGGAGTGGTTTTGACACATTAGACTGTAATGCAGCAACATTTTCAGACAAACAAGCTTAGGTGGGGTGCAAACATGTAAAAGCTCATTAATTGAATTTTTTTCTTCTCATGGTAAAGCCTCTCCCAGTTTACAGTGATGTGATTTTCAAGGCTTGAATCACACGTCAAAGTAAGTTCCTCAGTGATACCTGAAGTTAGTAGATGATACATGAATAAAAGCCTCAAAGCAATGACAATGTTCAAAGCAAATGTTTCCCAAAATAGAAGTACACAGGAATGTTTTATTTTCCTACAATTCACTGCTTTGAAGTGAGACATTTCCAAAGTGTCTGAAAATAAGCATCTAGAAGTGTTCATTCTACGGCTGATGTCAGTTCTAGGTAACAAATTGTAAATTTGTAACATGGAATACTACACTGACAACAATTACAGCTTTTACAAACTGAACCAACTCTTTTGTCATGTTATATTCTGTGATTTTAAGAACACCGTGCTGCATACAATTATGTTTAACTTGTAACTAAAATAAACCATAAACTATAAATTTAAGAATTAAAGACAGATGAATAGATCTTTCTCTCTGGGAAAACCGTAAAGCAGAGGCAGTTATTAAAATGCTAAGCATGAATTAGATCTTTATGTCTAGAATGGCTTAAATACAAGAACTATCATAATCTGAAGTGCTTAAATATGAAAAGAGACATAAGGTTGTGATTCACTGACCAGAAAATTAGTCACTGAACCATAATATGCACACTTGAACGAAGTTGCTAATTATGTATTTAGTATCACTCTGCCTCACCAAAATTAAGCACATGCATTTCAAACCTGATTAACTAGTCTCGAGGGGCAAAAGTATTATAACAAAGAACTATAAATTGTATCAGCAATAATATATTTAAGAAGCTGGTTATGTTTCTGGGTATGAGACAAATGAGGGTTTTAAAGCCTTTAAACCTCATCACGATAACGTTCTCCTTAATTATTAAAGCCACCAACTGCCAAATCAAATGCAGTGAATCTGTGCCGCTGTGCTCCAAGTCATCACTGTCCACAAAAAGAGGAAAGAGAGAGGAGAGATCCTCACAGCGGCGCAGGGCATGAACTGACCTTGATATTCCGTCCCACACAATCTAGCTGAATCACCAGCTGTGAAATATTCACTTTGGCTGTCATTAAAAATAAGCAGGCACAGAGCTAGGAATATCTGACCCTCTCGTGGATTTAGGAAGATCTACAAGAATGCAATATCTGGAGAAAATGAAAATTAAGCTACAGTAATGGTGGTTAAGAAAAACGTTCTGCTGAAACTGGCAGCAACTCCTACATCTCCTGCAATCCAATCATGATTTAACGATTTTATACTGCTTCATGCATATTTCCAGCTTTATTAAATGAGGATCTGCAGACCTGCGCTTCTTGAGATTGCAAAACCCAACTTTTTGATTTTTATTTTAACCAACCATCTGAACCAGAAACATTATTCTAAAGAACTGTTTTGTTTAAAAAAATCTCAGTTTTGAAAAGAATTTTGTACTATAAAAATGTGCAGAGGTACAAACTCCGTGACACAAAACTCAAGTTCTGCAGCATGGATTTTTAGTGACTTACAAGTTGACGATCTCTCTGAAAAATACTGCAGGCAGTAAGTGCTCCGATAAAAATAATTTAGCATTGACTCATTAAATTCAACAAAAATCAAGTAAGGAAAAAAAAATCAACTAGATCCATTCTAACAAATGAGTATTTTTTTTCCTACAGTTTTTTCTTCTAACATTTCTTAAAATATAGGCTGGTCAGTAAAAAATGTACAGCAAATTTCATTGTGTTTGGGGGAGTTTTATAGTTGGATTTTAAAAACGGGTTTCCTCTCAGCTTTAAAGCACAAAGCCGCTTCTTCTGGTACCATTTATCCAATTTATTTCAAGATGTCTTCAATTACCTACTCCGGCTGCTTCCATTAGGATAATAGTTGTATAATTAATACAAAGTGCTAAAAGTGGTGTGAACCCTGCAGGAATTATTTAGTTACAGCCGCAAAAGCTGGAACTTGTCAGGTTTTTGTGGATAAGATCAAGCCCTCTTTAAAAGCCCCAGCCTCCCACGC